TTGTTTTCTTGTAAGTCCGATTATATCAGTTTTACAAGGGATTTAAGTAAGTCTGTGATTTTCAAACTGGCATCTTCAATGTTTAGAACTTTTTCAGTTTGGATTTAGATATTTCAATCCGGCCCCCAACGATTTAAACAGAAATTCATGTATCAACTGTGGTGACAATTTTCATTTACATGTGCAAGTTTCAAATGCACGAAGTTATTCTATGATTTTCTGTGATTTTTTAAAAATATCAACCCACCACTCTGAACATTCATCCTTGCTGTTTTTAGTTTTCTTGCCTCTACTACATCTGATTTTCGTTGTCATTTTTAACAATATTTTTGTCATGGAGTGCCACACTCAACATGGTCATATGGTGGGCATTGTGCTCAAACATCATCGCCTTCTTGAGGAGGCTGCAAATGATATAGATGTACAGCTGGCACATGATATAGATGTACAGCTGGTCCATCAATCTATGGAGAATTGCACGCCTGGAATAGGACAAAATGTGCATATCTACGGCAAAAAAATGAAAGAGGGCTGGAAAAAAACAAGGAGGACATTCAATTGTTACAGGGCTGTCAGATTTTGTCGGATAATCCACGAGAAGCAGAGAGATTTGAGAGGAAGGGTTCTAGTGTACATGATCAGCTGTCAGAGTTAGAGTTTGAGGAGCTTATTCCAAGGTCAAGTCCTGCCTGCTCTGAATTTGATAACATCCTCAAACAACACAACATCACACCACAGGCCTACCACAGCCGTTCATTTATAGGAAGCCACTGCCATAAATACATCACAGCCCATGTGTACAGACAGCTAGCATCATTTTTAGCAAAAGGAACAGTTGCATGTACACGAAATCAAAGCCTAATAGACACCGCATTAATTGTTCTGAGAGAGAAATTTGTTCACGTAAAAGACACCTTCAAAGATATCCACACAGTAATTGCACATGGAAAGCCAATCACTTTAGAGAGAATACCACTATTCAGTCATGCATCACACGATCTATGTCTTTATACAGAAACATATTTGGCAAATAAAAGGTCTGGAGTCGATAGTGCTGTAAAACACGTGCTACTCAATCAAAATCGATCAAAAGAAAAGGTCATCCCCAAACAACACATCCTTGAGAAACACTGCGTTCCTTGGATACAAAAATGTGGGTTTGGAATGGCCTTCCATTGTGAGCAAGGGGGTGAGCTCATTCATGCAACCGTGGCCTAACAGACAAAGAAAAACACGTCAAAACAATCATGCAGTCACAACACGTCCAACCCACCCTGAGCTACTCTGTCGTGTGCACCACCCATCAAAAGACGAAAGCTTACCGCGGAAAAATGAGATAATTCCTCCAGTCCAGCAATATTGTGTTCTTTTTGTATTTTGTGTTTAGGTTGTGTTTTCATAAGTGTATCGGCAAGAAAAGATCTGTCCTGTAGTTACATGTATCGTGGATATCGCTATGAAAAAACAAGGTCGCAAAGCAAGAGTATTGCAAAAATCAACTTCAAACCTGAATAATTATGGATCCAGAAACTTCGTGCATATGCCCCTTTGTCAGTACAAATTTCATTATGTTCTCAGTCCTGTGTGCAAATTTGATTGAATTCGTTGGGGGCAATCATATTTAAATCGATGTTTATAATTGATTACCCATGACACATTTATCAAATTAAGTCCCCTTTTTGAGAACTTCACAGCTTTTAAGTGTAATGTACCATGTTCTTCCGATTTCTTCATTTTCTTCCTTAATATGTTGAATATTTACGTGGTCTTTATTAAAATATTCATCTTACATTAGCTTTGGCTCACTGTGCTGGTAAACTTTGCAAAAAATACAAGAGCGCAGCCGGTGTTCGGCTGATTAGGGAAATCCCCGGCGGCGCAGGTAAATGACCCCGTGACCTGGGGAAGCGCGGGCTTGCTTGCCTCGCGCCAGCCGAAACTAAATGGGCGCTCTATAACCGCTGTGTATTATACATATAATATAAATGCATATGTGTAAAATTTTATACCAGAAAAACAGTCTCGCTGTGAGGTTGAAAATGTGTTCACTAAAAATATACAATGCAATATAAATTCACGAACAGTCAAAATACAGTTGAAACGTGAGTAACTAGAAACATTCATTAAAACATTAATTCTATACAGATAGAAAAACATTTCCGCTCTCTCTCTCTCTCTCTCTCTCTCTATCTATCTCTCTCTGTCTGTCTCTCTCTCTCTCTCCCTCTCTCTCTCTCCCTCTCCCTCTCCCTCTATCTCTCTCTCTCTCTTTCTCTCTCCCTCTCTCGCTATCTCTCTCTTTTCTCTCTCTTTTCTCTCTCTATCTCTCTCTTTTTCTCTCTCTCATTCTCACTCGCTATTTCTTCAGTCTCACAGTCTGGCATACACATGCATATATATCACAGTACATCATTATGACAGGTATGCTTTTGTGAATAAAAAATGCTTCAGCTGATTTTTGAAAATGGAAATTGTTGGGGCAGATCTTATTTTATATGGGATTTCGTTCCATACCTGGGGACCAAAGAACAAAAAGGAACGCTCGCCGTATGTTTTGTAGTTTTGTTTTGGAGTTTTAAGAATTAGATTGTCAGAGGCTGATCTAAGGGCTCTAGGTGGATTATATAATTCCAGGAATGTTTTAAGATAAAAAGGTGCACTATCATTTATACGTTTAAAACAGAGAATGGCCGTTTTGTATTTAATCCTTTCTTTTATTGGCAGCCAGTGTAGTTCTTTCAGAATTGGTGTTACGTGGGCTGATTTCTTTTGTTTCATTATCAATTTTGCTGCTTGATTTTGAAGTACTTGTAACTTTGATAGTTTTTCGGATGTCAAACCGGACAAAATAACATTACAGTAATCTAACTTTGATAATTATGCTATTTTCGGTAAAGTTTTTATGACTCTTTTTTATGTCTGCATATAATATTCAATTGAGCTGTGTGGAAATGACTTTTTAAGAAGGGGGGGGGGGGGGTTGGGGTCAGAGTGACAACCAATTGTATAGCATCGCTGAATTTTTCGGAACTTATATATAGTCACATAACCTATAGAGTCAGTCTGTGAAAAACAAACATTTCACCAACACAGTGACAATCCACTCAGTACTATAATATTCAATGGTCCTCAAAAATGTTGCAGTATCCTATTTCTAGTTGTCCAAGAATTTTGATTTTTTGACAATTTTGGTCTTGGTTTCTTTTTTCATTTGTCCCTTCAGTTAATGCATATTATTATCATTTTTTAATATTCATCTGAGCAAAAAAGCAGATGGTAGGAGGGTGGTTATGGCAGATCATACTTCTCTTTTTTCTGTCTGTTGTTTCTGTTGGTTCTACTATGTTTTTCCCCAGCACAAAAGATGGTTATTGTGTCTAAGTGCTTCTCTTCTCTTCACTCAAACACAAAAACAAAAATAACTGTTTCCTCAGATGCCCTACATTTGAGGCAAAACTCCTTCCTTCTGGCTGTAGCCTGGTCCAGTCTGGCTGCTGCCAGATGCCAACGTGCAGGATGCCCAATGGTACAGTGTTCGATCCTGTGGCTAAGCCTGAGCCGACCATGCCTGTTGTCAACGGAGTGGGTGGTGGTTTTACAGGAACAAAGCTCGGCTTCACGGGCAACTCCTCGTTCATCTCAGGAGCCAGAAGTAAGAGATAGAGTGTATGGTAGTTCTTTCAAGTTTTTGTCTTTGAAGTTTTTGTAGCTTCATCTCCAGAGCCAGAAATAAGAGATAGAGTTTATTTTAGTTTTTTCAAGTTTTTGTCTTTAAAGTTTTTGTAGGTTCCTTTAGGACTGCGGATGAGTACTATTGTTTGTGTCTTTCCATGTCTGTCTGTGTGATCTCTTACAGACAAATTCTAACGTGTTTATCTTTTAACTCTTTCACTACCATGGGCCGTGTTTCCCGGCTCTCAACTTCCTGCCCCAAAACCATACCTACTTTTGTGGTAGTCGAATCTGAAACTTATGCTGAAAAATGATCGTTTTTAGCAACATGTTGAGATAGGTCATTATTTCCCCTTTATTTCCGTATATAATGCAAGTGACTAATATTGAAAATTGAACCAAAAAATCTTTAATTTGTCCGACGGTAGGCAGAATCAGAAAGTAGATCACAGATAGGGCCCGGTCCAAATTAGCAAACCCCCCCCCCCCCCCGGTAGTGAAAGAGTTAATTGATATTTGGTCTCACTAACACATATGAAAAGGCTCCTTTTTTTGTATATATATTTATCTCTTACAGATTAGTTATTTGCTGGCACATGAAGTTTTTGTATTTTTAAGTTTAAAAGAATGATTATTGTACCATGTGATGCTTTATTATATTGTGTTGATGAGTTTCTTGTGCACTTAAGGCATCGGTTTATGGCTGTTCTAATTCATTGAGATAAGAATAAGGTTTAATGATGAAATCTTGAAAAAATTAATGTGTTTTGCCAAGAAGAGTCGAAGAGCAAAAGTCTTCAAATAATACTCAAGTTTTTTTTTGGGGGGGGGGTTTGTGGGGGGGGGGGGGGGAGTTATATATAAGAAACTGTCTGAATTGAAAGAAGAATTAAGGCCGCTAAATGGATTTACCTTAAAGTTCGAGCAAGGGAGTGCACCTATATATATAAGCCACATCCAATGCATTTTTTTTTAATCTGAACTTTTTTCACAAAGAAGCCTTACTGGTTTATAAGCTGTGGCAGATTATACAACACAGATATGTACTTCACATTTATTTAGTGTCATCATCTGTCTATCCACTGAAGCCATCGCAATCTTTTTCTTCTGTGTTGGAGTTGAAAAGATAGAGTAAGCGCTTCTTCCACAACTTGTAAAGTTTCATTCCACGGCCATCTAATCGTCTCAACAGGAGTCTCGTAAAGTACTCACGCGTCTGTTTGACCGTGTTTCTTCGGCATAAGCTAAAGTGTGGTGTTGAGGAAAAATATCCATCCAAACTTTAAAATATTTTGGTGTATGTTAAGAATAGACAAGACAGTGACACTCCTGCTATTGGGAAAATCCGCTAATAAGCAGCATTATTGTTTAAGCCGCAGGGTTTAAAACTGAGGAGAAAAGTTGCAGCTTATAGCCCACACTTTACGATATGGAAAGTAAACACAAAGTGTTCAGTGTAGACCGGCTTCTATTTTTGTTGGAGCTGCATGTCATGGTTAAGATTTATGTTTTGATTACTACAATTTCATTTTACTTCTTTATTTCACAACTGGAGCAGGAAACGATATTACCAATAATGTTGTAAGCGGGTAATCTCATATTATTTCTTGATGAATTATGTGTAGATGGCTGCGTTTTCAAGACCAAATTCTACAACACGGGTGACAAATGGTCTGATGGATGTGAACACGAATGTGAGTGTGTTGATGGAAACATTGGCCTCTACAAATGTATCGAAAAGTAAGTCATGTTACTTTCTTCAAGTAGAAAATAATACGCCAAAATAATAAGTCTTCTGAAGTAGGACCAGGTGTCTAAACAAAAGTGGACTCATTTAAAGGAAAATGAATTGCTTATCATCAGACCAATTCAAACAAAACTATAGGACATTTGTGTTGATATTTATCGTTATTTTGTCATGTTGTTATCTGTTGTTATTTGTTATATCAGTTGTTATTTGTTGTTATCTCGACAAAGATAAATACCGTAGCCAAAGGTTGATATGTTTTTCTAATTATATCAAAGGATAAAATATTCATTTGTGCTTCGTCTAGATCTGCGAGATGCTTTTATTGATTTTTTTTGTAGCTGCGTGAAATACGAGAATGTGCCCCCTAACTGCCAAGTTGTGGATGTTCCAAACGAATGTTGCAAGACAGTCTCCTGCAAAAAGAGCCTTCCGATTACCCTTGCTACTACGACCTTGGCTACCACGACCTTGGCTACCACGACCTTGGCTCCCACGACCACACCCGTGACCTCAGCCTCACCCACCTCTGTTGTTGTTACCACGGCCACAATGATGACAAGCTCAGCCCCGTGTTCTGATGTAGCTCCCAACTGCCAGTCCTATGGCCCGAGCGCCTGTAAAGCACCGTACCTCGAGTGGGCAAAGATAAACTGTGCTCTCACCTGTGGCATTTGTCGTAAGTTTCATATGGCTGATAACTATTGCAAACAGTGGGAATCCAGAGTTAAGCCAATGAAAAAATCATTTGTATTATGTCTTAATAGAGCAAGTTTATGCAATAAAAATTTGACATAAATAGTTAGATAATTTTCTTGCGTGCTTGATACTTGCACACTGAATTCTGACATTGAAAAGTTGTAAGATCTCCAGAAAAGCTGTGATATCATAGGTTGCAGTTGTTTATTACCTACCTACACACATCACAAAGATTCGTCGTCGAACATGGCCTAGGCCTAGCCTGAAGAGCACTATACCAGCTAGTGAATAACACTAACAACAACCGAACATTTATAATAATAGCCTACACGGTTTAGTATGAACTCAAAACGAAGCGTGAGCAAGCATCATGTGCCAGTGAACGACTTGTAGTAATGCAACAACATATGCCACGAACTTCTTGGTGTTTGGCCACAGTCTCTGCAGGGTCTCTCGTGGCCTAGAGGTTAAAGGTCCCGGGTTCTAATCTGGGTAGCGACCGAAAAAGGTTCTTCTCTAAAATTGTCTCCTTTCACCTTCTTTCCTGCTCTCTTGCAATGTTCTGTCATCTGCTTTCGTCTCCTCTTTCTGCCCCCTCCCCCTCACCTCCTTTGCCCCCTCCTCTGGGCTCTTGACTCTTTCTGAAGCCTTTCTACTGCTACTCCTTGGCTCCTTTTTACTGCTGTCTTTCAGCCACACCCCTGATCTTCTGGTCGGAAAGATCTACACCTGGCCTTCTCGGACAAGGGGGAAAATCCAGTGTGCAAGCTGCACTCGTTAAAGATCCCTTGGTGGTCTAAAATCAATAAGAGTTGGCTTCGACCTCCACCCGGGCAAAATTCAAAATTTCCTACCAGCTGAAAAAGTTTGATGTGTCCGCGCGCTCATATGTATTTATGCAGTTGCGAGCGCTCTAAAACATTTACAAAAAAACCACCAAAAAAACCCCAGTCTCTGCTCCCGTGTTAATCAGACAAGTTTGAGTGCTTGCCCCAAACACTCGTCAGAACTCCCATCATTTCAGCCAAACCCAGGAACCTGCTATCATTAGAAGCCCTCTTTGCTTAAGGTTAATCAGTACTTTGCTCATTTGTTCTACATGTATACAAATATGTAATACTCTAATCTTTTTCTTTGCCTTTGGCTTGTATGAACATATTTTTTAAAAATTAATCATAAAGAAGATTTCTTTTCTATAAATCTACATAGGAATGGCCAGTCTCCTGTCTTGGGCTTTCCTTTCTGTTTTGGTAATATTAAGATTGACAGAATGTTACATTTTGACATACTTTGGCGCACTCACTCTCTTCTCCTCATAACTTATTCTTAACACTATCAGTACACTCACCGAGATTCTCATAAGAATAAGCACATGCATGTTGCTATAATATATGCACATATATGTACATACAAAACTTGAGACCTTGCCTGTTGACAAGTTTGCATAATGTCATGACAATAAAAAGGTCATAATTCAGTCAGGAGTGGCCTAAAATGTTGAAATTGTTGTACTAAATTTAACTTGTTCTTTGTTTCCCCTGTGTCAGAATCATCTACCACCCCAGCCACTGTTTGTGAAGATCTTGAGAATTGCCAACAGTATGGGGCCAATGTTTGCACTGATTTCCAGTCGTGGTCAGAAATCAACTGTAAAAGACTCTGTGGATATTGTGGTAGGATTTCCCAAATTTGAACGTTGAAGAATACAATGTACGGCACTTATAGAAGGAAAAACACTTATTTCCGTGAAGTCTTTATTCCATAATCTCTCAAGAAGTTTACATTTTTTAAAAGATTTTAAACAACTGACAACAGAACAACTTTAGAATTTCAGGGAAGTTTTAAGTTGTTTTCTCTTCGATAAAAAGACTTTCTGGTCTAATTTTTGTAAAGCATTTTGTCAGCAAGCTTTTCAGTTGTTCAAAGCATAAAAATAAAAAGTCCTTCAGGAGAGAGAACCAAACTTTCATTCTTTTAAGAATTCTACCTACATTATGCTGTCCCAGTGATTTTATGCACCCCACTTAATTTAGCAAAATTTGATCTTTTTTTGGGGCATAATTTCTGATTATTTTCCTTTATCATTCATTGTTAAAATTAACAGAATCGCATTATTTCACACTTTTGGGCTCAGTTTGCATAATTTCAGAATTTTTCTTGCTTAAAACAACTGGGACAGATTATGTATCTTTACTTGCATTTATCAACATTTAGAATTTATTTTTCAACAAACTATTCCTTGAGCATATGCAAACAATACCACAGATTATGAAACTGCCATTTTTAAAATTCAAACTTTTGGGCTTTGTGCATTTACTGAACAGCTAGCTAATTACATGATCTTTTGATGGAGAGAATGGGAATCGAATGCTCACCTCCCTCTTTCTTTTGAAAAACAGTTTCAATGCTACTAAACCATTTGAACCTGTTAGGTCAATAATATTTGCCGTATACCGTAAGGCCGGTTCACCGGGGCAGGGACTACCCTGAGTTGTGTAGTTTGTCAAAAGTACTCTCTTTATTTCTTGTTCATCGTCTTACAATATTTCAACCTTGTAATAAGGTAAACAAGGGAGTGAACAAATGTGTTTATTTCTCCATGTTCTTCTCCTCAGTCTTTTTGTGTATGTGCTCCCAAAACACTGTGAACTTTGATGAAATTTGCAAAAGAATATCCAGGGATAGAGATTTGAGAAATTTCAAGATTTAGGGTTCAAAGGGTTAAAAAGTTGTTTGTATGGAGAAATCTGCACCTGAGTAAAAATCCTAGTCAAAACTGTCAAAGACACAATCTTTTGTCCTTAATAATATCTTCCTACTGTGCTTTCCATAACATTTGGATGAAATAGAACAAAGGGTCAATTTAATCTGCTGTTTGGAGACATGCATTGAGTCTCTTAAGATTTAAAAATATTTTTCCTTTTGGTGAAGATCTAAACAGACCACAGTCAAAATTGTCCAATATGGCCGACTATTGTGGAGGAGAAAACTGGTGTCTTAGACAGGTGAACATCTTGGACAGTGTCATCATTCTGGGTTTTTTTGACTCTCGGGGAAAAGTGGCAGGTGGTCGTATAGGTGATTGTCTTGGCTGTCCTTGCGGTTTTATGCAAAAAAAATTCTGAAATTATGCAAACTGAGCCCAAAAATGTGAAATTATGCGATCTGTTAATTTTAACTCAGACCGAAGGGCTAGAACCCAAATGGCCGCTGGATCAGAAAAGTAAAAGTTATTTTTAAGAAAGAATGATAAAGAAAAATAATCAGAAATTATGCAAAATAATTATCAAATTTTGCTAAATTATGCGGGGTGCATAAAACCCCGGGGACAGTCTTGGACAGGTGGTCACTAAAACAGGTTCAACTGTATGTCATATGTGCCTCCTGCAGGTAACAGTGCGATCACAGTAACTACCCCTCCAATGACCACACAGAGCACAGCGCCAAGATGTGTAGACAAGCTGCAGTGTGATGAGTACGGCCCCTACATCTGTACACAGCCTGACTACAGCCAGTGGGTGCTGCAGAACTGCCAGGCTTACTGTAGCTTGTGCCAAGGTAGAGAATGCTTTCACTGACCTTTTAACCCTATCCATACACCCTGGGGTCATTTTGTACCCCCGAAGTTGTATTCTTCACATTTTAGAATACTTCTAGTACGAAGATCTCTTTGAAATTTTCAGTATTTCTCAAAAAATCATTTTGACAGACTGCTATGCAAAGCGTACAGATCAGATTAACAAGGAAATTTCCTCTTTGGAAAGTAGTGGCATAGAGTTCCCCAAGGTCGTATGGATACAATAGTAAAACACACCATATTGATAGGGTTAACATTATGATGACCCATGACTCTACAGTAGGTCACATAGTTCAAGGGTTTGG